ATACAGATACAGATACAGATACAGATACAGATACAGATACAGATACAGATACAGATACAGATACAGATACAGATACAGATGATACAGATACATATTATACACTGGGTATACACTGGAAAGGAAAAGTTGCCCTGAGCTCTGTTCTTCTTAGTGTGTGCTCACCAGGGAAAGCTGGCAGCATCCTCTGCAGTGGAGGAGACCTCTCCTTTCTGCCACTTAAGGTCCCTGTTCTGGTTCCCAGTAGCTCTAGAAGAGCCTAGATACCAGCTGTTCCTCAGACCTGACTCCCAGGCCCCTGCACTGGCAAGAAGAGGTCTGGGCCCTCTGGAGACTGGGGATCTTCATTCGGGCCTAGAATCAGGTTCCTAGATTGGTCGTATAAAATTTTTAGTGACAATAGTTATGTAGCACTCACCAGGGAAAGTTACTAAGTAGTGATAGGACAACGTAGTTTCTGTAAATTAAAATTTTAAATTTCCTTTGGCCATTGTATTCAGTATTCATCGTCTTGGCTCACTTTCAATTTATCTGCTCAAACATTATGTTCATTTACCTTGTAATATTCTGAAGACACGCTGGTTCTCAAACAAATAGAACCTGTCAACCAGGCCTTGGAAGGTAGAAATAGAGCACACAAAAAGTGTCTATATTCTTCTTAAAGTCGCTAACTTGGTTCATAATGTCCACAAGTTTAACAAGGGAAGTACACACAGACCATAATCCACCTACTGTCCATTGTAGATGTCTGGCCTGTGGGAGGTGGGAGGGGCTAAGAATGAGGCTAATAAATTCCAAGTGGTAAATGATTTTAGGGATTCTGTTTAGCTTGACAACGTGTGTTACCTTCATATATTTTAATTTGCTCCTTTTTTATTGCCCTAGAAATGTCTTGTTTAAAAAATGGAAACAAACTACAAAGTTATCACAGGGCAATTAATTTCCCTGCACTATTTCCTATTCAACATGTGGATATCAACCACACCTTTGCTTGCATAACACCAGAATATGGAAAATGGATTTCTCTTTCTCTTCTCCCTCTTCCTTTCTCTCCCTCCCCCCTTCTTTCTCTCTGTCTCTCTCTGTGTGTCTCTGTTTCTCTTTGTATCACTCTCTCTCCTTTCCCTCTCTCTCCATCTCTCTCCCTCTCCCTCTCCCTCTCTCTCTGTCTCTTTTCAATCCTGATGCCTGCTGACTCATAGCCTCCCGTGAAAGAACCAAAGAAAACTGTGAGCCTCAGCCCAGAATGCTGTCTCTTTTAGGACTTGCCAGGACTCAGAGAATGTTTACGGTTTAAATTTGGTGAAAATGGTGATGTCAAGTTCAAACTACTTAAAAAAAAAATACCAGAAGTCAAAGGTGAAATTTAAAGGCTTAGGTGAAGCCTGCTGACCTGAGTTCTATCCCCAAGTCCTGCATGGTAGGAGGGGAGAACTGATGCCTGCCAGGTTTTCTCTGACCCCTACACCAGTACTCTGACATGCATAAACCCATGAGCACACACCACACACATAAATAAATGCATGGGATAAAAACTGTTAAATGAAATTTAAAATCCACCCGTGCAAAGCCTGCATTGTATATAATCGCCCGTGAATCAATGGAGACAGACAGCGTGTTGTCGAAAGTGTTTGTATTTCTCTTACAATGTAATACAAGCCCCAAAGAATGAGAGAAGAAAACCACATCTTTACTTTGTTTATTTAATAAGCACTTTTTAAAGGATCGTTCCGACTTTCCCCAGCTGAGGGAATAATGCAGTGGCATGGTAGTATTGAAGTGCCCCAAGAGAAAGTCCACAAAGGAGAAAGAATTACTAACCTCAACAGTAAGACAGGCGCTCGCATGTAGAGATGCATATACACAAAACTGTACCTGAAGATCTACCTTTTCCGTATGTAAATTTAAATATTTAGTCAGAAATAAAACCGCTTATATGAAAGTATCAAGATAATAACTGATTGCGAGGATTAAGTCACACTGCATTCCAATGATACTATAGTGGCTTGCCAAAATTCACCTTAGGTTCAACAACTGCGCTCTGCCTAAAGGGCCACTGATACAATGTTCATCTCAGACAAAATACTTTCACCCAATCATTGATCATAGAAATATCAAACACGTACACTCTAGATCAGTAGTTCTCAACCTGTGGGTCAAGACCCCTTGGAGGGTGAATGAGCCTTCAACAGGAGTCGCATATCATATATTTATTTTATGATTTATCACAGTAACAAAAATACAGCTATGAAGTAGTAACAAAAACAATTTTATAGTGGGGGGTCACCACCACATGAGGAACTGTACTAAAAAGTCTCAGCATCAGGAAGCTTGAGAGAGTGATTATCTAGTTATAGAGTCAGGGGGTTGGGAGACTCATGAATGACCCACCTTTCATCCTCAGCACCTGGCTTGGGGGCCAGAATGTTCTAGGTGCTCAGTAAACCTTTCTTAGATTGTATTAAAACCACCACAAACATGGGCAGCTCTTTAGCCCCTGACTCTGGGAGACAGCTCTCTAAAATGAGTTGACCATGGATGAATACTGAACATTTGTGGGCATATTCTTTAGATGGCTGATTAAGTATTTTTAAAAATATCTTCAAGAAGAAAGATTGATGAACTTCTGAAGGAGTACAAAAAAGTATTGGTATACCATTTACTAACCATGTGTATTTTGAGATATTTCCAAGAAGATATATAAATTAGTTATTTAGGGTTTAATACCTCTTGTGTGGTTGGAGAAAAGACAATAAATCAAAAACTATAATCTCCAGGGTCAAACTGAATAATAATATATTTTCTATAGTTAT